ATCCATACCTCATGAACAAATTTAGTTTATTTAGTATTGTTATGTATTTGTTGGGACGATTCTCCGACTTTCTGTATTCAATTTCTATCCTTATTTTAACTGAGTTGAGCATCACGCTCTATAAAAAAATATCTAGCTCTCTGAATTCTACATCTATTCCAATCCTTCCTATGTCTTTCCCGGAGTTGGATGAGAGAAGCTCACAACCCATTGATGATTCAAGAAATGATGATTAATTTCAGCTCTTAATGATTTTTTTCTTTTAGCGTTTACTGTAGGTACTACGATCTATGTTTGAACGAGGATATCTTACAGACATTATTATAATTTCTGTGCAAAGTTTAATACTCAGAATTATATTTAAAACTTCAGTATAATTACTAACAAATTGCACATATTGTAAGTAAGTTCTGCAGTTAAAACTATTTTTCTTTTCTATTAAATATTTCACTAAAAATAAACAAAAACTTCTATTATACAATATTCGATACGTAAGAATTACATTACTACAATTAATAATTATTAGAATAACTTACTCTAGGACTCCATTGACTTAAATCTAAATTCAAACCGAAGTTTTAACACAAGATATGCCAGAAAATATGGCTTATTCTACTGAACTTACCTACTTCTCCTAATAATTAGGTACTTATTTATTAGAACTACGTTTTAAAGAACTAACATACAAATTTGTGAAATGTCGAGCTGAGAAACCTCTATTTTCATCAAAAATAAAACACTATTTTAAAAGCAAATATATTTAAATACTATTATACAATTTACTATATGTTTTTTATTTATAGTACATTACTTATTAGTACGGATTTAATTTATAGATAACCGCCGCCGGCCGAGGTCGAAAACGGTCACGTTCCTGAATTTTAAATCTTTAATATCTTCAGAAATATTAATTAACATTCCATGCTGTAAGAGTCATATTGATCTATATTAAATAGATCATATATTAAAGGTACTTAGTTGTTTGAAAATTAATGTTCTGTTGCTTAAAATAACTTCTTAATTAGCCATTTTTTACCGTAAGATGTAAAGAATAAAACATTTATTGTGGGTTATGTTGATCTTTGTAAGGTGCACAATACTGTAATAAGTACATTATTTTTATCTACCTCGTGGGGTTTAGCCCGCGCTTTTAATATAAGCACAAAAAATGTGTATATTTACTACATAGCATGCAATATATTAAAATATGTCTTCAAAATACGTTTCGTAGTTTTAAAGAGTGAAGCATATGAAGCATAGCATAGGGACAGGTTTGTACAGCGACAGTGACTTTTTATACTACATATAAAGTGATGATATAAATACATACCTATATATGAAGTTGTTTTAAAAATATTTATAACATTGCATGAGTTTTATTGTTAAAGAATTTAAATCTCTCTTTTTTGGATTTCTTATTAATTTGGTGATACTGGTGGGAAAATTAATCTGATGACGTTGAACTTATCAAATTTGATTTACCTATTTTCCGTTTGTAATAGAACATTTGCCTAAATTTGTTTACCTTACTCAAAGTTAAAAATGTAAAAAACTGATCTTTTAGCTTCGTTACAATTAATAATTTATGAAAAGTCGCTTTGTATGTTTAGCATTAATATATCTAAGATTCTTAGTGCGTGTCAAAGCTTACAATCTCAGTGAAATAACTTTTTCCATAGCAGATTTATTTCATTGACACTAAACAAATATTTGTATAAATGTTTTTATATATTAATGTTAATAATAGATTGCTTTCATATCTGCCTTTAAAAAGTGTTTCGTATTATCTATTGAAATGTATTTTTAGTGGAATCACTTATTATTTACTCTACTACATATATATGTAGTTCTGAGGTATAAACACAAAAAGTTAAACAAAAATATTTAATTTAAATTTTTGAGTTCCTGATGACGTGGCGAGTTAAACCTTGATGAATTAAGAAGATGTTCACTTTGTGACATAATCGAAATATTGGTTTAATTTTGAACAGTTTCTTTCAAATCTACACTTATAAAATATCTATTAAGCTTGTTTTACTTGGATTAGTTGTAAGAAGAGTTTTTTTAAATTTCTTTTTTAGCATCTCAGAGCCCACTGCTAAGTAAAGGCCACTTTCTCACACGGAAGGGTTTGAGGATTAATCACTACGCTTGCTCAAGACGGGTCTGCTTGCTCTGATATCAAACTTATAATTGTGAAACTATAAGTCCAGGTTTCCTCACGATGTTTTCCTTCATCGTCTGTCAGGGGTGTCTAAATATTCTTAGAAAGTACATATGACTCGGAAAAATCACATTGGTACTTGCCAGGATCGAACCCGCGTCCTCGACAATGAGAGGCGGGCTTTAAACCACTAGGCTACCACTGATTTAAGAAGAAGAGATACAACTACAATTAATGTATACGAAAATAAATTAAAAATTGTTTTTTAATGTCTTAAACTATTATTGTTCATAGATAGCTTGTTTATTGTGAGATCATTACGTACGGATTTATCGCGGTCTGATTCCCTTTTCAAGGACCACAGTATTGTTGGTAGTGAATAGTTCCCCGGCGAGGCCACTTAAGATGGATCTGTAAGTAACTCACATGGTTTTCATATTCATCATCGGACTTATTCCAGTAACCTATGTATGGTTGTCAATAACTAACTTTGTTTAACTATTAACCAAAAGAATTATGTCACGTAAAGAATTATATAACTGTTTTTTGAGTAAACAGATGAAATGATTAACAATATAATATTCTATATAGCCACGTTTATGTTCGGGAATTTAGTGTCAAATATTAAATTAAAATAAGTTTCATAAAAGATGATAGGTATACGTAGAGATGGATTAAGGATTTTTATAGTATGTAAATAAAAAAAATCTACAATTATTGAATTGTAATATATTCTAAATCCTATTTTCATGTAAACATTTTAACCTCATGGACATAAGAGTATAACTAAGAATACATATAGAAATAGAATATAGAAATAATTGTAATAGAAATAGAATACAATGTGTTATTGGATAAATCAATTTAAAAACTTTTCATTTTCTTTATACATTCAGATCTTCACACAATGTCATTTTTAATGGTATTTGGTAACGCTTAAATTTTGAGAATAGACATAGAATTACGTAGACTACTTAACAAACAAATGTATTGCCAGTTATCCAAGATTTTTATACCTTGTAGTATCAAAATAACTTATATTTTAAGAACATAAAATACCAGCATCTAATGCAGTTAATAATAATTTAATTTATAAGTAGTAAAAGAGATTGGAAAAACAATAATAATTTAAGGGTCAAATTAATACAAAACTTCTGAGATGATAATAAAAATTTATAAAAACTTATAAAATGTGAAAAATCCCTTGCTGCCTTAGGATAATATTTCATTACGCTCTGGACACAGATAATTTAATGTACTTTTATACAAAACAAATCAATTCACTTTTAATATTAGGTATGTTAAAATATGCAGTAAATTTTTAACTAATCTTTTTAGGGTAGATAAATTAAAAAATATTTTTATTCTTTACTAATTTAAGCATTTCTTTACCTACAAGCAGCAGATGCTGTTTTTACAAATATTAGGAATAACTTTATAACTGGTTTATTATTTTACTTTTTAGTCCACAATCAAGGATGAGAGATCAAAACCCAAAATATATAAAATATATATAATATTAGGCATTTAAGATTTCAGGATACCTAAAAATTTGCGATTTAAAATAAAATAAACTGTACCTACAAGGAGCTTAAAAAAATTAGGAAATATATACCTGTAAAAAAATTCGATAATCTATTAATACATATTATATTTTTTATAAAGGAATTTCAATAGTCACAAAAGAATTTTGTTCATGTCGAGAAAACCTTGCTCTTTAAAAGGCATCAACGAAAATTGATAAACATTGTAATCATGATTAGTATTATAAATGAATCTTGACTTTCAGCGTTTCTTTCATAAAAATCTTAGGACTTTTTATATCATACTTTATTTATTAATAAAATATTATGTGATTTTCACATTATAAGTTTCTGTATAATTTCTCTCATACATTTATTGAAAATAATTTATTTGAGATTGATTTTTCTGTCAAATATAACGGGACTTTAATGTTAAGGACCGCTGTTCCAGTTTCTTTATAATATATTAAGTAATTCAGAAAATGTTATAGATTAGAGTGTTATCTTAAATATAAACTGAGACAAAGGAAAATTCTTCGTAACAAGCGTTTTATTTTCTCATTTAGTAACTTTTGATGACTTGAAAACATTATGTACCTATGTAGTATGGAGACGTTAATTTGTACTTAGCGCACTTCACTTTGCTTTTATAGATTCTTGAAACTTATTTAGAGATCAGTAAGGAATGTTATATGATATTTTTATAGTTAAAATATCTTTTAATATATTACAAGTAATGTGATGTACGAATGGTATTTGAATCATAGTTTTATGAGCTTTGACAAGGGACTGTTACAGGAGTAATGTAAGGTAGTGGAATTGAAATTTGTAAAAAATGTAAACAATAAGTTTTTGGTACAATGATATTTAGTTCTTTCAAGTAGTTTTAGTGTCACAGTTATTTAACTTGTGTTTATGTGAGAATATTGTGTTTATGTGAAAACACGGTTTACATTAATATGAGAAAAAATATTTTGACTGAAAGCTGCCCATTTAATTATTTATGTAATTTTAAAAAGGTTTCTTTTAAATACAATCATTGCTCAGTTTTCGGTACTACGGAACATGTTCTTTCTAATTAATAAAGCTATTATGTTATATAGGAATTAATGATTATATCTACTTCTACAATTTTTCCATTATTAACTACAGTTCCAAGTTAGCAGAGTCATTATTCAAAGTTGTTATTAGTGAACTAAGTCATGTTGACATTCCTAATCGTAGATGCATCGGTCAATTTCGTTATAAATGACTCGCCGGCGGAGGCTTTTGTGTCTTGTCCTCGATTCTAATTGAAACTATTTTGGGGACAGGACAATGCGGCATTGTCCGCGTGTCCAGCAGTGTTTGCCTTTATTAATTCGGGTGGGCGTGGCGTGGTGTGGGCGTGGCGAGGCGGTCTGTCAGTGGAGGCCACTCCCACCGGCGCCGCGCACTCCGGCGGGAAACCTCACGGTTCCTCAGTCGCTCTGCTGACGCGACGTCAACAGCCCACCTCCGCGCTGTCCCCGGGATAACTTTACGCTCACGTAAACTTCGGATACTTTGTAAACCTTCGCTGGAGACGAGCTAATATTCGCACCACCTCACACACACGCCAAGTAAGTTTAGAAATTATGAAACGGCATTTTTAAAACACTTCAATATTTTTTTTAATTTTATTTTGTGAACTTCGATTTTTTTAAATATTAACATAGAACGCTAGTCAATTTTTAAATGTTCGAAACACAACCAACTTTAAATATACATAAATGTTATCAAAAAATTATCATAAAAAGTGTGATTTGGGATTTATTGCAACGATCCGAATTTAAAAATAAAACTTAATCTCCATCTAAAATAAGTAAGGAATATAAAATTAAATAGATTTCAAAATATATGAAGTACAAAAATTTACAAAAATCAATAAAACTTCACATACTTAACGAAAATAAAAATAAAAATTATACTTTATCAAATGTAAATGACAACAAAATACATACATATCCAAGTGATTTCCTTCTTGAAAATCAACATAAATTGCTTACATAGATAAAATGTCTAATGGCATTAAAAAAAAGCATCTAAATTCACATATCACAAGCACCGTAGATAGGATATCTTCAATTCAAACAAATCAATTGGCTATTCGTTTTCGTATCGTTTTTCCGTTTTTCTAATAGACTAACGTCCGCCCAAACCGTGTTACCTTCCCCTCTCCCCCCCTCACCCCCTCGGAACCCCTCGCGATCATCGCTGACAATGCGGTTCACTTTATTGGCTTCACGAACTTTTTATGGCAATCCCTGAAACGTTTTGCTATTTCGATTGCAAAGTAAAAAAACGATCCGCTCCCAATGTTGTTCTTAGATATGTGAACTTTCTAATTTATATAGATTCAGTTTGAAATTGTGGATAAACATTTTATCTTCATTCCTATTTCTATTTTATTTTCTTATAATATAAAGAATGAAAAATGAAATAGATAAAATTTCTTATAAGGAATTTATTTGAATTTTATTTTATGTAAAGTAATGCAATAAGTAATCCATCTACGTAACCGTTATTTAGAAAAATATGTTTTATAATTAACACAACAAACAAACAAAGGCACCAAGAACTAAACAGTTAAAGCGATAGTTCTCAATCAGCACCCGTTTATCTAAACACTGCTTTATAATTTATGCAGAATGCATTCTAAGCAATGCGCTTAGAAAACACTAATGACGGGGAAAATAATAGGCGTTAAGCGTAATGATAGCGCATAATGAGGCCGCGCCGATAACGACCGCGCTCGTTATACTCACGATTAGACGTCACCGAGCCCGTGACGTATGCGTGCATACTCTGTGGATCATGTGGCTGAACGATGTGGACCTTCGGCTATAACTCAATACACACACACCTTTGACATATATGTCAAATATATTTGACAGTTCAAATTAATGACAATAATTATTAAGAAACTAGAAGACCCGCCGAACTTCGTATCGAACTATAATCAAGAAATGTCTATTACGTTTTATTATTTATATTTTTGGAGTTTACCTATTAAAGCCATAAATCTCCGTGTTTTGAAGTGTCACAGAATGATTGACATATTAGTTAGTTGTCAAACCTAATGTCAAAAAAAATGTTTGTATCAACAACTACTAATAAATTAAAAATTATTTAAAAAAAACATTGTCCAGCGGACAAAATTGTGAATCTAAACCATTCCCAGATCCCCTTGAACACACACAAAAAATTTCATCAAAATCGGTCCAGTCGTTTGAGAGAAGTTCAGTGACATACACACTCACAGAGGAATTATATATAAAGATATGTAGTTTTTATTGTCAATTCTATTTTAATATATTACTTTCTTTAATCGTCCGTTAATAAGAGTAAAAATTGAAGGAAAATAAAGCGTTTATGAAACCATTAAATAGTGTTAATGTACATAGTTTTGACTTGCGAAATTAAATAAGTTTCTAAGTACAGAATACTAAAAATATCTGTCTTTTAAAATGTTTATTTCAACTAAATAACTTATATGTAAGTCAAGACATAATCCGATTTATATGTTGGTCAATTGAAGTACTTTTTTATCTTTGGAATTTCAAATTATTTTGTTAGTTCCCATTTTATGTGGAGACAGTAGTTCAAGTGAAAAAATTTAATTTTTTAACTGCATACACAAACATATTCATTTTATTAATTAATACTGGATAAATTTCAAAAAATCTTATTTAAAGTTTTAAGTTCTAATTCGCATAAAATATGATTTAAATAAAGTAAGTTTAAAAGAAACTTAAAAGCAGGCAGCAAAATTTTTGGATTTTTCATAAATTTTGACTGTCCCTTGGTTTCAAATACACAATTGTAACAAAATACTAAGGAGAAAATTCTGTTTTTTCACTATAGATAGACACAAAGCATAAAAAAAATCCACAAACTTTGGGCCAATATAATAGTCGCGAGAGATTTATTTAAAATTAAAGATAGATATTTATTTACATATTTTTACTTAAGTATTGAAGTATTTTATATCTTTTGAAAATAATTTTATAGCTTTTGAATTTTATGCGATATAAATCGGTATATTTCTATTATTTAATTTGTTTAAATACGTACTTTTTACAGAGATAAAGTAACCTGACAGAATTAAAATTAAAAACTATTTTTAAACGAGAAACGGCAAAAATTGCATCGATCAGCCAGTATTTAAGTTCATGCACTGACAACTTGAATTTCGGTTTTATGAAAAATCAAAAAAGTTGAATTAATCGAGCCTTTAAATTTTAAGGGAAACTAATTTCGTATATCCTTGCAATAGCTAGTTACTGAGATTATGGAAATTCATGTGTTGCAATGACAATCCATAAAATTTTCCTTGTTTTATTTTGATTTTTTTATGTTTTTTTTTAATTATATGTAATGTATATATGAAAAAATGTTAAAGTATATTTAAAATTAAAGGTTAGTTATCCAAAATGCTCCACAGTATTGTAGTTCAATTTAAAACATATTGGAGATAATCTTAATTTTTAATTGATATTAGAATTCGCTTATTAGAAAGCTTTGGATTCCAATATTTAAAAAATATAATTTAATTCTTTTCTACTTTTACATTATACTATTATTTATAGTAAGATATTTTAAGTGGTCTACACATATACTTTTACTGTAAGTACCATTATTTTTGAAAAAGGTTTTTATGGATATTTAAAACATAGTAGATAGTTTTAATAATAAAAATCAGATTAAATATCAGTTCAATCAAAATACGGGATGACTTTTATGATAGAAAAACTATTTTAACCATGAACCACAATTTTAATTATCTGTAATTAATTATTAAAAAGTATGTATTTGTAAATCGTAATTATGGAAACTTAATGAATTAGTTTATAATTTAATATTTATCATTATTTAAACTCAGAACACAGTCAATGTTGTATGAACATTTTTTTAACATAATACAACACAGCATTATCAATAGCTGCAACAAAATCAAAGTCCTATTCCAACAATACGGTGCCGAGCATCTGAAAATCGGTTGTCTTCTACAAACGAAAAAGGATTCAGTGAGCGCATTAAAAGTAGATGAGGGATAAAAGTTCCCGCAAATGATGCTAAATGATCGTTTGAAACGTCGCCGCGGACTAACGACTCTATGAATGAATAACAGATCGTTTACAGAGCACAGGCGGGACGGGATGTGTCGTGCGGACGCCTCGTTAGCGCTTAGCGGTCGGACGGCGCGGCGACGCAGAGATGCGATACGTCAAAATGACTATATCAATGTCACTCTGACGTTTACATTTAAATTTCGAATGTCATGTATTTTTTTTTTAAATTCAATTGTTATTGGACATTTAATTTCAATAAAGATGTAAAAAGGTTTTAATATGTAACATAGATAAAAATTAAACTTCTGTATGATATAAAATCTAATTCACTACTTGTTGTTTTTGGTTACGTAGCTCAAAGATGATTAATTATAGCAGTCATATAATACAAATTTGCGTGATATATCTTTTAAAGATGCAACAATACTGTATAAAATATAATGTAGTCTCGTTTGCGTCGGCCGCACGGTCGATTGGTTTAGTTAGCAGTGAGCGTCGCGCCTCATTTGCTTGCCGCGACACCGGCCGTGCGACTTTGTTACCACTCTTTTAGCTCACCTTCTATCTCTGATAAATCACTCTCATATAGACGTACAGTGAGACGTGAATTTTGATTTGAGATGCATGTAATGAAGGACTCATGTTTATACATTTTCGTATGAAGACTTATATTCTTATGCTGTTAAACAGTAGCGCGTGAGTTGAAATAAAGATATATTAATTGAATACTATTACTTTCTACTAAAATGACTTTCTATTTCGTGGATAACTTTTTAACGTTATGTTAAAGGTTATTTTTATATAAGCAGTACATCCATTAAAACAGTTGATCTGTTGAGTGTGGAGCAGCGTGGATCGCGTGGTTGTCGTTAGCGTTTAATGATTCCTTAATGAGTGCACCCTTGCTTTTAAATTAAATTTTTTTCTGAAAAATACTTTTCGATGTGCCAACAAAAAAAGATGAATATGTCACGAGTATGAATTTAATTTGACATTAACTGATATCGTGAAATTTTATTAAGATCTGTATGTGACATATAAATGGAAATTTCGATATTTTATAATACGAATGACTTCGGCTAGATGACGATTCTTGATAGATAAGGGATAGCATCATATTATAGTAAGTTTATCAAGAGGTTCGCAGTCCGCGCCTCTGGCGACCCATTAAAAATAATTAATCGATGCTCGCAAAATATCGAGGGCTTCCACTAATGATATCGTAAAACAAAACGCCGGGGACGACTCAACCCCGACCGCCGGCGAAGTGTTAGCGATAGAGTCTGCTTGGACCAATCGGAATGTTTGGTCCTCCATTAAGAGGCGACTTTTACCGGTAACTTGAATTGCATATAGGTTTTATCGATTTTAAAATCATTATCTCACAAGTGAATTTTATATTTATCAATATATTTTAATACGTA